GTCCCGTTAGGCTCTCTGGCTGAGGACCCCGAGATGGTCATCGATGGTTAGAGACACTGAATGATATGGCTGGGAGTCGTAAACAGTGGCGTTCTTGCACCTTCTCAACTTCTTTGCAAACTTAGACCACTGAACTTCTCTATTTTCTGTCCGACTTTACCTTCAACGTTCCTGTCTTCTCTCATTATTCATTCAAATGGACAGCCGAAAGACAGCAACCAAAACCGGTGCACTATAGTGCATGCTTAATGGTTGTTCAAATTGAAACTGAAACCATTACTTCTCAATCCCCATATACTTATTCAAGTTAAAACACATTTACTGAGTTTGCATGTTTGCAATGAAAACAATGAAAATTACTGTGCATTGATACATTTCGTCGGTATTCGAACGGGATAACATTGTCGAAGCCGCGGCGGGGCACCCAGTCAAACTGTGTCCGTGATTTTGCAAGCAAACAAATATTACAGCAGCGGACAGCCACAAGTGACGTGGAAAATCCGGGGAACAAGTTCAACAGAATCAAACTGCGGATTTGCTGAAACTGATCCGTAGATGGGAATTTTCCGTCAACTGCGTATTGTGAAGCTCCTGTGAATAAAAATGAAAGTTAACTTTCACTCAACTTACAATCAACGCTTGTATTGCAGTATCAATAGAGTCCAGCTGAACGAGGGCCATCTTTTTATCTTTTCTGGAGAAGTGTTAAACGTAGTGCGAGTAGACTTACTGCATAAATCGAAATCCTGTCACCTCAAATCCTTTAGCGGCAAACAGAAGTCGTATATCTTCCTCGGAGATTGTAGGCGGTATATTGCTCAAATGGAGCACATGACTTGGAGGGTAAATATTCATGTAATTTTTCGAATTCGGCTTTCTGAATCGGTGCAACAAGCTCGTGCTATAGTCTTTCGTAAGACCGTTGTCGGAATCTTCGCGGGGCAATTGGACAACGTTGTGTCGGGAGACTGCTATCTTCATAGTTTTACCCCATAAACGTTGACCAGAAAGGAACTGGAGGGCTATTTGACAAACTATATTGAGCAGCCAATGAACTCACCTGTTAGGGCTTGCTGAGGATCTGCGAATTGGACCAAGGCTGTGTCTTTCTTATTGAACATTATTTTCACTCGCGTCACGTCACCGTAGACACCTGTGAGGTAGGTAATAATAACAATAAAGCGTTGTGATTAAACATCTAACGAATAGGCACAATAGGTATTAGTGAACCCCTCGCTCCCGAAAAACAAAACGGGCCAAAACAGCTCAAGCTGATCCTAAGTGAAGAAATCTGTGAAAGGGTAAGGTTGGGTGTACAAGAGATCGGCTGGTTCGCGAGTATGTACATAACTGGTGATAAAGAGAACATCAATCACGATCCTTTGGTGATGAAGCGGTCAGGTGCGATAGAACAAAGAGTACGTCCAATGGATAACGGAAAGATCAACAAGAAAAACTTGGCACTGGCTAAGTGATCGATGATTGACGGTTGTCGTCTTGTAGACAAGATAGCACAAACAATGGAGCATTAGCTCCGGGCTCAAAGCAGTGAGGATAAAAACGAGCAAAACAATGAAAGTTGGACAGAGAACGAATAGAATCAATCACGAACGCCAAAAAGTAATGAGATTACCGGGATGAATATAACATGAGAACAGGATGGCTGGTAGACCTACCAAAGAGGGTGAAAAGAGCGTCCGGATACACTCTCTTCACGAAGATCAAGGTGTAAGCAATGGGTCCAAGTAAAGGATTGACAGATCACGTGAATGTTCAGTGGAATTCAATGCGGCAAGGTGCAGCAGAAACAGCGGAAGACGAATAGAAACGGCGAAATTGATGACCGTGAAAACCCCATTGAGAATGACAGAATTGAACAGCCGATCAACGAGTAAAAATCCAAGATTGACGGCAGAATGGAATGAAAGAGAAGACGGAGAAACAATTTAGTGTGTGGTTTTGTATGAGCACGTGTGGAAAGGAAACGCGGAAGCCAACTCAACTCACCTCCTCGTGAAGATTGGATACGATGAGAACCGTCCCTCCGTTGTTGTTCGGTGGAGGCCGGGCACCAGGAGCAGTACCATGTTGGCTCAGCGCATGCGACCCTAAGGGGCCCGGGTTGCCACCAGTAAGATGTGACATCATGGGATTTTGTACTGTACCTCCCTGAATAGCAGCCAGCAGTGCCGCGAGGTTTGGTGTGCTTGGCACGGACTGTGCACCCACCGCATTATTTTGTGCCGTCATTGCCATGAAGCTAGCGGTGGCAGCAACCGCCGCCGGAGTAAGTGCCAGTCCAGACTGTTGTGCTAGTGCAGCTAACTGCGCAGTAAGATCGTTGATTCCAGCATTGCTCGTACTTGGAGGCGCAATCATACCAACAGGGAGGTGAAGCCCTTGCGGAGTCATGCCAGGAACAACTGCACCTTGAAAATGTTGTACCATACCGGTGGGGTTACCACCGTGCGGAGCACCGCCCCCGCTGGTACCACTGGTCATCGAACCCGAAGTGTAGCGACGGAGGTTGATTAATTCCTCTTCGGTCAGAGGGTTATTGATGTAGTCTCTGCATTTATCATTTTCATGGCGAACCTCTAGTGGACCACGATTTTTGGAAAACTCTACACGCAGAGAGCAGCAACCCGTGTATATATTTTGTCCGTTCAGGTGCTATGAAGGAAAATTTCAAGAAAAAAAATGACTTACCAACATAGCCACAAAGGCGTGAATATGGTTTTCAAACTCTATTAGCCCGTGATATTGATTGTTTTTCAGGTAGGTGATGATACGCAGGATTTTTCCATATCTGTAGAATATCTGAAAGCAAATAACGAACCGCAAGAATTGATAGCTTACTTTGTGAAGGATCGTGTGATTGATTTGCTGACCCATTATATTATCTACTAGCACCCGCAAGACGGTGTTGGGGATACCACAGTTAGCACCACAAAGATCTTGCTGTACGATACAGTTGGCGTTTTTGATTGCATCACCTATATTTGTGTTTTCTGAGTGTAATTCCAGGTGTTGGTGCTTTGAGAACTGCATCACCAAATTACGACCACGTAAAGTCACTTGATACTCGCGGTAATACGACACCATATGAATAGCACTTTCCAACGACTGCATCTCTATCAAAGCCTACGAGACCATTGATTAAGCAAAAGGTAACCTACTTGTCCGGCTTTTTTCGAGAGCACCATATTTTCGAGCAGTCCGAATGGGATTCCGAGCAAGGCGATTTCTTGTTCGGAGGCGTCGTTAGGCATGTTTCGGATGTGCACAACTTTCGAAGGGACGGTCTCCACGTACTCCATTCGGGACTAACGACAAAGATATAAGATTTAGCTAAACTCACCTTTTTGTTCTCGTTAGATTCTGTGTCCATTGGAGCATGACTGTCACCATTCATTATGAAGCCGTTCGTTGCATCACGCTGATTTGGAAAGAACGAAAAAAAAGTATCCGTTGATATAAAATTTGAAACTCGAACGTCTCATGTATTGAGCGGAACATCCAATCGTGTTCGTAATCGTTACATGTTGAACCGGTGAGAAGTAGGGCTAAACCCCATATTCAAGTGGTGCTATTACAGAAACCACTTACAACGATAAGCTGCGTGGCGGAATCTTGACCCCGGACCTTCAACTAACATTACTGACGACAGATTACATGGTACACTTCTAGCTCTCCAGATTGTTTTTAACCAATGCATTTGAAACGGATCAGTCCAAAGATTGTCTGAGGGTAACGCCTAAAATGTGTCACCCAAGAAGTGATCGCCGTGGTACGAGAAAAAACGAAACTCGGATATCGGTCCGGAACCGTGCAGGAATCATACATTGTAATGCATCAACAGAAATGGCGTAGACCTAAGAGACCAAAAGTAGTAACGACGGACAATGACGACAGCGTCAAATGAACTTGAGTATACGATATCATTTTTTGTAAGTCAACATCGAGGTATTTGGTACGATGGTATTGGTAGTTTGTTACCCCTTTGATCTACACTTACAAGCACAGTTTCAATCACAGCTGTGATAAACAGCAGACGGGGAAAATACCAGTCGCAAGGACTGTTCAGTGGAAACTGNGGTACGTAAGCTGTGGCTCATTTTTGAGTTAACAAAAACGAAATACAGGGCTAAGCGTGTACGCAAACAGAAATCTAGCACTCGGCGCAGCTACTTCCCTGACCACATTCGGAATCAGGTTATCACTGCAATAGAAACCAAAATACGATTTAATGGATCCAGCAGTGCTGCGAAATTTAGTTATCCGCACGACTTAGCCGATGCTGTGTCCATACAAAAGCCAGTTTATTACGATGAAGCTGATATTCCAGCATTTTTTCAAAACGCAAACAGCATATAATGGTCACGGTCAGATAAGCGGAACACCCCCTCAGTGAAGCTACCAGCTGACTGGCGCCTATATTTTCGATGGTCAATGCATGCTATCAGATATTAATTGGGGGACGTGGACTACGACTACGATTATGAGTATAGCCAAAATGGCTAACTTCAGATTTGGTTTCATCTATTGGGCATTAGAAACGAGTCAACGTTTACTATATTTGCCGACAAACTGATCCAGATTTTACGTCATATTTGCGGTGGATAAGCAAAAGTTTGCCTGGAGGTTCAACAACGAGATAACTGAGTCAACCATATTTACCCTCTAACTGGCGCGTTTCACCTCTACACCAAAGCGGGCGCGATTTCGGTTGCGCACCAAGTACACGGAGCTAGTAACTCAAGACTGGGTGCACAAACTGCAAAAACAATGGACTCCGTTACCTGTATAAAAATACCCTCAGTACTAGATCGACGTGAGTCCCGCGTAGTCGAGACAGGCCATCAG